CCCCAAAACCCCAAAACCCCAAAACCCCAAAACCCCTCAAAATTATCATTTTGTTGAAATTATTCAGGTTTAGCATATACAAGGAGGGGACGATGATACTCCTTTGAACTTGATTTCAGAGCTTTCTTAAAGATAAACCCTACTTTCTGCGTTAGGTACTCATCAAATTCATCAGGTTTGAAGTCGATTGACTCAAAGTTTGCCTTTAAGTTCTCTCCCATAGATTTTCTCTTTCTGTATCCCTTCCAAGTGGAAGGGTCGTAGATGAACAGTCCTCCAGCAGCTAAGCTCTCGAATACTTTATGGAATAAGGCTTTTAATCCAGCATCTCCAAAGTTAAGGTGGATCCATTTTGATGTTTTGAGGCATAAAATTACATCAAATTTCTCAGAAGTTGGCTCGAGGTTTGCAATAAAATTTTCACATCTAAAGAACAGCCTTTTGTAGAGGAAATCCTTAGTCTCCTTTGTAATTCTGCTTGTTAGAGCTTCTCTGGTACTAATAGACTTTACCACACTAGGGACTGATAAAGAAATCCTCAATCACTTTGGCAGATTCTTTATATTTGTGAGAATTTCCTCTTGACTGATTCCCTCTTTTTTGGCATCTTTTTGAAGTGTCATATTTTGAGGAGAAATTTCGGATTTTGATGAATTTTGATCCTTTCCTTCAAATTCCTTAGGAGAAAGCTTTTCATCTAAGTCACTTGCTATCTTAGATTTATCAGTTGGTATAGATTTACTATCTGATTTATCTATTTCTGACTGAGCTTTGCTCTCTAATCTGTCATCATATTTTTCCTTTGCTTCTTCCACAATTTCCCCTTTATCTTTCTCCGCTTGATCTTTTGTCTCTATCGGATTTTCTGGTTTTTCTTCTGTGCTTTCTTCTTTCTTCTCTTCCTCGTTAGTTTCTTGGCTGTCTTTATTTGTCCCACTGAAATCTCAGGTAGTCTCAAAGTTATCAATGATAGATTTTGTTATGAGGTCATTTGTCATTTTATGAGTATTCCGAATAGCCCTGGATACCAACTTGTTATCTATATCAACTCCAATTACTAGTTTTGGGGCATAATCTAGAGTGAGAGCCAGAGTAAAGGTTCCATCATTTCAGCCAATATCCAGTATCTTCTTGTCTCAAAACCATTCTTGTGATAGGACCTGTAATCTGCTCCTTACATTTGCCATATCTTTACGATTGAGTGAATAGAATTTATCAAAATTGCCGTACTGGAACTTAGAGCTTTTAAGAATTCTTCTGTGCAGATCTTCTCTTAAAAGAGAATCAAAGAAATATTTATGCTCTGAATACACATCTTTCATGGTGATTAGATCTTCCGGTACCATTGGTACATCTTTCTACAACATTAGAGAGCATATACTTACCGCAGATGCTTCCTCTTGTATCATTTGTTTTCTATATTTCCAAAATTGGCCAAAATAATGAGCAATTTTTCGAAATCAAAGGCGCTTCGAACTCAAATTGAAAGCTAAAATTGATAGTCTGACTAATGATTTCCAACGAAAGGTAAATTTCTCTAGAGAGTTAAATCTCCAACTTAAAATAGTTGATTTTTTTACAGATTCCATTGAGTTGTTCCATAATCCACTAATCCAAACCTTTAAAATTATGTATTCTAAAGATCTCAGGTTGGATAATTGGCTGTATCACTGTAAAAGATGCTCCTAAGTTCTGAAAGATTAAAATATCTATCAGATATACTGAATGAAGCCTATATCTCTATTTCTAGATGTGAAGGGATATAAAGATCTTAAAATAAGGCAATACACCACTGAAGAAGTAATATGGGTATCTCTATTTGTAATAAAATCTTCAATTTTAGAATAAAGTTTAACAGTTCTACTTACTTTAAGGTCTTCTTAACAAGCTTTTTGGGCAGCTCATGGCCAACTTTCCGCTTCTTGCCTGAATAATTGTTTGGTCTGAAGTTAAACCTGATCTTTTTACGCATCTGAGGCTTCCTTGATGGCCTAGATGCATAAAATTTCGCCATGCCCTCCATTTTAAAGATAATTCTCTATTTTTTAGCAAATTTCAGGGGTTTTGGGGTTTTGGGGTTTTGGGG